TATATATATATATATATAACAACTAGACGAGTCTGAAAACAGGCCTCTCTACTTCAACATTTCACGGACGCGTCCATCAAAATGAGCGCAAAAAGTAGTCATATCAGGTGCATTGATAAGCATCAAGGATGAAAGAGCGACGGAGAAGATGAAGATGAGGCGAAGAGGAATTTTTGGGGGATATCCGGGATACGATTACTTCTAACGAGGGTAGGGAATGTGATTCACATTTCTGGTATTTGTTTCAGACTTATCTGATGACAATCAGGAAGGAGTGCCACCCATTTCCCTGGATAAATTCCCTGCTTCAGCTAGCTAGTAATCACCATAATTTTGAACTCCACCATGAATTTCCGAAACCTTAATCTTACCACACAAATGAAGTCATTCTGTACTAAAATAACTGTGCAGCGAATTTCCCATCGCCGGAAATCGTCGGCCGTGCGAATCTTGCGAACATTTATCGGGTAATCGAAACCGCAAGCTTTCAGTTAGTAGTAGATGATTCGGCCACCACTGACTGATCAGCAATATGAGAAGTTGGTACCTATACAAGGCTATTTACTAAATTGAATGGGACAGTTCTTAGCTCGGTAATGACTGAATATTTTGTCAAGTTTAATTCACATGGCATTTCACGTCAAGGGCTCTGCTTGTCGGATCCCATAGTCGTGTGAAGGCCGTAACGCATGAGTAGGCAGGGAGCTAGATAGACAGCCAGGGAGAGAGATAGGCTCGGTACCAGTGTCCTAGAAATTGGAACGTGCTCGGTGTCGCAAACTGTGTTGGTGCGTCGCTCGGGTGTACGCACACAGGGACTCACCTATTGGCTGTCCCCGTCACAGACTTTTCGTTTAAACCAATCAGACTGTGATTAGCCGTGTGAGGCTTGTCTTGCGGCTTACTGCATTGATTGGCCCCGTAAAGGATGCAATTGCGGTAGGCCATCCGACTTTGGCATCGATCGATTGCCGGACATCCAGTAAGGTCCTTTTTACTACGAATTCGAATTGCATCACGTGTCACGCGTATCTCACCACCCGTTTCTCCCATCCAGTCATGCCACGAGGACCGCAGCTAACCGAACAAGAACGAGGAAAGATACTAGCTTACAGAGAAGCGGGAATGAGTTGTCGGATGATATCCAGTCTGATTGGCAGGTCAAAGACAGTTGTTAACAATTTTTTGAACAATCCCAAGTCATATGGAAAGTTAAAACCCACAGGAAGGAAGAAATCCATAGCGGAAGAGAAAGTGGAACGTCTAATCCTTTCCGAATCCACCAAAGGACTCAGTGCTTCCCATCTCAAAGTTGTGGCGAATCTGGAAGTTTCTGTGCGAAGAGTACAGCAACTTATTCGTAACTTTAGACATCCGGCCACACAGGTGCCACGATCCACTTCAAGTCGTCCGAATTTGAAGACTACACAAGCAATAAATGAGGTAGAGAATGAGAAGGTGGAGGTTTCGTAGTGAGTTTGCGATATCTGTGTTGACACCGAAGCACCGTCTGTGATGGCTCTCCCAAAATGTTGCCGAATTCCGTCCCTTGAAACCCATGAACTAGCAGATTTCAGTGTGCACAACTCAACACATACATCTACACACATAGATTCATCTGACCTACGTTTTCTTCCTTTGTACATACGCCCTTTTGGTTATGTTGGCAGTGAGTACGACCCTACGATTCCCCACAAGATGTTTGTCTTTCTGTTGCGATCCGTGCAATTTTCTACTCATATCACTTATCACTCTCAGGATGGCGTGTGTTGTTTTCCATTTGCGTGGATTTCAGTCTTGGCTTGGCTTTTTGATGGAGTAACGTTAGGCCAAACAGTTCGGGACCTTGGGAAGTGTCCTAGAGGTGTTCTCGTCATGCACAGATTCGCTATAACGGAAATTCTTTATGGTCTTACTGAGATGATCCTTCTGGAGGCATAATTTGCAACTGATGAACTTCATAAAGTGCATTTTTCATGTCTACAGAGACCATCGAAGAAACCAATGGAGAACTTCGTCCCAGATGGGCGATGGAACGTTGATGTTCAAAAATGTACTTTCGACGATGGTGGTGTTACTTCAGACGGTTGGACGTTACGGAGTACTGACACCGGCACCTGGCCGCTGACAAGTTTCCTAATCATTTTCCGAAACCTTTAATAAATATGTGAATGAAATTTAGGTTTCACCGTTAGCTTGTTGATTGCCCTTCATTCTATCTCACCGTGAAGGGGTGTGGGGAAGTGTCGTAGGAACCTTTCGGTACTGGTGATTGGCTTATTTCTAACTAGCGCTTATTCTGTTCATGCCCAGTATAAATCCTTGACTTTCGTAATTCAGAATTGCTGTCGATTTTGACGTCTGCTGAGTGCGTCTGGTGGCCACATTCTCGCGTGCTCGCGGCGCGGCTGTTCACAACTCCCACATAACCAAGGACAATCTTCCGCTCCGTTTCGTGAGGGTCGGCTTATGGTTCCACTGACACGGTGGGTGAACAGGAATATTTGGCTGCAGAAATAATTTAGTTTCTGCTCTGCAACATAGATCACTTGCACATGCTAAAACTACTGTTAACTGAGGTGAGCCATTTGGAACACATGGTCCAAATCTCTCGGTTAGGTGACACACTGAAGTGGCCAGCTGTTTTGCCCGCGCGCATTTTTTGCTTGATGGCTCCACCACGATCGATCAAGGTCTAGCTTCTGCGTGTAATTTCCAGTGAAATCTGTCACCGGGCAGCCAAAAATCACTCGATTCCACTCACTAGACTGGAGTTCTGATGAGAATCATGGTGGCCCCATACTTTTATCATCGGTTTTGTATTGTGTTGTAACTTGCCCGAGGATCACGTGCGGAAAGCAAAACTTGTTGGTTTTCTAATGACAGTTGTGCCTGCTATCTTGCGAGTGGCTAAACTGAGCCAGGATAACAAGTGATGCACGGACGAAAAGAACAGATAGGATGGCCCTCATCACTATCAAAAGAGGCTTACGCGTCTATCTAGACGTAATATTCCACTTGTAAGGTTGCTGAAAGCTCTTCGACAGCCCACGACCGGCTTTGCCCTTCTTGCGGCTGATCAAGCAGGCGCAGCTCACGAGTTTCTGTGAAACCTGTGTTCTCCTTGAACCGGAATGTGATAGATCTCGACAGATAATCTCATTCGCATCCTAATTTGGTTTTGGCGGGTGAATCGACTGAATTCAGCTGAATCCCTCGCTTTTGCTGATCCATCACTCGGATCCAACCCCGATGGAAGGCAAGAGTAAATGCAGGTATTTCTCTTCTAGACATGCTTTTATGTACACGGAAAGCCTTTGAGTCAGCCGAACCAAAATCTTAGCAGTACCAGGCGTTGAGTTTTGGCCCTCACTAGACGGGGGATGCAACACAGGAGAAACCAAATAATCCTGGCAGTAAAGTCGGTCAAGGTGGATGCGCTTCAAGTTTGGACACGAGCATGTTGTTATTCTCGAGCATACACACCAAACTGACCAGTGACGCAAAATCCTGAATTAATCCTGCGCCGCGTCTTGGTTGTTTAAACAGACTCGGGCAGTTTCGCATGTGGGAGGTCAGCGGAATTCGTTAAGCTGTGCGGAAGAGTGAGATGACCCACAGAATGTTTGGAATTAGTGAGTTTTACAAAGATGGTGCTGACCAAAAGGAAAAGAGTTGCACCGGAACAGATGTGAAGGAACGCATGGAACCAGGGACATAAGAACGGACAGATTCATCTTCACAATATGACAAAACAAGAACGAGAGATTCAGCTGGGTTCCAGGTGAGTCTCCCGTAGAAACCGAATCGGTATGCAAATCAGTGTAGTTCTCCAGTCTCGTGCAATTAGGTTTGGAGTGAACATAAGGTTGACGGAAACTCGGAGACTGCGCGTACCTGATGAGCCCAAGAAGGACGAAACCGGTCGTGGGCTGTCGAAGAGTTTCAGCAACTTTGTGAATAGTGTATTACCTTTATACAGGTATCGCCATATCTCGAATACCGTACCAAATGAAACATGAGGCGGCCTGGTGTAGCACACATGATAAACGAGAGATTCAGTTAGGTCCCAAGTGAGTCTCCAGTCGAAATCGAATTGGTATGCAAATGAAGTTGACTCAGTTTACTGTTGGCTGACTCCTGCTTCAGAACGTGCCACCTGCGAACATATCCCTCACAATTCAAGGAGAACCACTGGAGATTGTGGAAAACTTTACATACCTCGGTAG